ATTATCTGTCAAATAATTCTCTATTTTCTGCTCATTATAATAATTAAATAGAATCATTTTTGCCTCAGTCTTTAAGTACCTCTCTAATGCACAATTTTTTTCCTGTTCAACAAGCTGCCTTAACTCTCACTGTACTGGCAATGGTAATTTTTCCCTGAAAATATGTTCTTTATAGCTCATTTCCTCTAAGAGGGTATTATAAAAAAATTTTAATAATACTAACAATTCAAAAAAACAAGCCAAATTCCTTTTCTTAAAATTTCATTCTTCATAATTTCTTCTCACCCTTCACTTACCCCTCTTTCTCTTTTACTGAGTCATAATTTTTGCTCTAGGAAATCACTCCATGGGTCCCATTCACTTCTGCTCAATCTCTTGCACTTTTTTTTATATCCTCCAACCCCTTCCCATCCATTTCTCTTCCATCATTTGACCTCAACATATCATTTCAACCATTTCTTCCACAATTCATCTTAAGGAAACTCCTGCTCCAAACTGACCTCTCACTCTTCCCCAAATACGCCGTGCTCCCTCCAACCCCACGGCCTGCACTCACTCTTCTCCCCTTCTCAGTGCTCTCCCAGCCTCTTCAGAAAAGCCAGCCTGTTACTTCCAGCAAGTTGCTGGAAAGAGTTATGGATATTTCACTTTTATTCTCCAACCCCATCTTTCCTGTTTTCCTGTCTTTCTCTTCTATGCACTCCAAGACTTCCTCTTGCTCTAGACCACGGACAAGCTTCTTCCTCCTCCTTGATGATTTATATAATGCTCTAATTCCAAACTTTCCATTATTCTTCCTTTATGCTGGCCTTTATCTTGGTTTGGCTCATGCCGCCTTTGAGAAGGAATGATTCTTTGGCTATTTCTTTTGCCCCGTTTCTCCAAGAGCATCCTTCAGGTGTATAACAAGTGGACAAATCTTCCACATGAAATATCTGGGTTACATTTTTAATTCTGTACCCCTACTCCCCGGGCCAACAATAGAATGGATCTCTAGAATAAACAGACATTCAGTTGCTGAATGAAAGAAATGTTTCCTTCCCTATTCAAAAGCAGCCCTTCTGACTAATTAAAGAAATATGTCAAAATGGTTCCCAAAAAGAATCCATATGTCAGCCAAATAATTAAATATTTTGAAAATGAGAAGAATCACTTGATCTTCTTTTCAATAGAGATGGAGAATAAAGGAAAAGGAAAGAGCCAGGGAAGAAATAAAACAGAATTCAAGCTGAAATAAATATAGAAATCTCTAGTTGTAATGAAAGGGAGAACAAAGGAAGCTTACGACTCTGGTGAAGCCAAAAGCCATTATGTATATGCCTAAGGTTTTACCACTTTTTTAACATTTGCCATCAGCTTGTGACCAAAGCCAAGCCCCTAAAAGGGAAGACGAAACATAAAAAGCTGCTGGAATGATCCGATGGGGAGTAGACAGAAGCCTTCAGTATGATACAAATAAATCTTTAACACAGTGTGCTTAATAATAGTGGGGGGAAGAATGGGCACTCAAAGATGTCAATGCTTTGTGAGAATGGACTTCATAAACTACAAAGCACTATTTGAATGTAGGCTGTTTAATACTACTTGACAGAGGTGCAATTACCTCCCACCCACTGCTGGGTAGCAAATGGTATTAGCACGTCCCACCACGTCCCACCACCTCTCCCAAACCTAAAATGGCAAGAGTAGTTAGGGGAAAAGAACACGGGGAATGAGTTATTTCTTCTCATAAGTCTGTTACCCTGCAGGGAGCTGAGCTCCTTTAGGTCCAAGTAGCAGAGATGAGAGGCACCCAGAAGCAGACTGCTGTCTCAATACGGCTGTCGGCCTTCCAGGATCACATAAAAATACGTGTTTACAGAAGTGGGGCTGCGGTTCAGCTAGTTTGGATGCCCACCTTTGAGTCCTCAGGACTTTCCATTTTCCTTACTCAACTACTCCTGCAGTCTCTGAGAAGTATCAGACTACACAATAAGATATATGGATGGTTTGAGTCCTGAGTCTCCTGGAGACAACAGCATTACTCTTTCTTATAACTCATCAGAGCAGCTCAAATAAGACACTAGCACAATTTTCCATCTTTAGGTTGTAAGCAGAAATGGTTAGAAATTCGTCATTATTGGTTCATTCAATAAATACTTGTTGACGCTGTGCCACAGTCAATACCATGGTTATCAAAATGAGACAAATAATATATGTCGTATAACTATTACACACACACACAGAGCCATGAATAAAGCTTATCACTTTGTAGGTTGTAGGCACTCAATATTAATTTCCTTCCTCCCTCTTTTTACCTTAAAGCTCTACCTTCTAGCTTACCATTTCATAGGGGACGAGTAAACAAACAATTCAATTATAGTGCAACTTGTGATACGATATACGATATGATGTGATGTGACGTGACATGGGAGTGACAAGAGGAGGTGGCACATTAGCTGAGGCTTAGGCAGTAGTTGGCCTGGTAGACACTAGATAATACAGAGGAATAAAGGGAAATCACAGTCGAAAGGATTTGCATTTCAAGAAACAGAATAAAGATTTCTTCTGGAATCTAAGCCAGTCAATAAAAGAAAAGGTAATGGCAATTTAAATGGGAACTACTTACTACCTGCTTATCCTAAAAAAGGAGGTATGGAAAGAAAATTCCGAGCAACCAAAGAAAATAATTTTTACTAACAATCAAATGCAGAAGAAATTCTAAATATCCGTCAAAAACAAAGCTAAGTGAACTATTTTTGAAGCAACAAAAAAAGACCCCTGGGCAAGAAATTTTATAGTCATCCTCTTTCTAGGTTGGAACTCTCTTAGAATGAGACAAAGAAAAATCTGGACCTGGAATAAGAGGAAAACGTTAGGAATCCATTCACCACACTGACAGAGACTTGTTTAACAAACAGATGAAAGGCCAGAATAATCAGACATCATAGGAAAAGGGAACGGATTGAGGGGAATAAATGAAAAATTATGACTCAAGTAAAGGGCAATACATTTTTAGAACACCCAGTAGGTTAAGTTAGGTAGAAAAGAGAAAAGAAATTATGAGACTCTGATAAAGGAAAGAACCATTTTGCATGTTTCTCCACAAGAAAACATTCAGCGTGCTCTGCAAAAATTAAATTTGATATTTTAATGTACCTGAATAAGCTCTAAATGAATTCTGGAATTTAAAAATTCCAAATACTCATTCTATGCAACACAGAATGGAGATGGGGAAAACAAGGAATGCTTCGACATAAAATAAATGACTTGTTTGGTTTTCCTTTATTAAACATTAATGAATGGCATCTTAAAAGTATATAAATAGAATCCAAGAATGCTAGTTTTTTTTCAAGAAATAGAGAACCATCATGAAGAAAAGATCTTAGGAAGTACACAAATTTCATTAGCATATAATTGGACTTGCAGGAACAGTTACTGTGCTGGACTGTAAGGGGAGCTGTGGGCACGCAACAGCAAAGTGCTTGTCTGCTCGCTGCCACCGGCCTCGGCAAGACCCACTTCCAGCTCGAAGCAGTCATGTTTCAGCACCTCCAATTCCCCAATGCTGACAAGCTAAACAACTTGTTTTGTCTCTGGGAGCTCTTCTCTGGTGATTAACTGCTTATGGTGAATACTAATTATAAGAAAGTACAGGATTGAAGAAGTAGTGTCCTATTTCCTCTGCCTACAGCCTCGACATGTCTTTGCATTGAGAAGGTACTAGGTAGAGCCATCGCAAACCAAAATCAAGCAAGACATTTTCCTCCTCTGTCCGGTAAATAAATGTATCACCTTCTACTTTTTAGTGTAACTCAGTTCACTGACAAGAAACTTGCTTTAACCTCTGGGCTCCAACCCAAAGAGAATTACAACAAAGTGAGTGTTTTAAAGGCCTGTAATAACTACACGGATAAATCTGCAGCAAGAGTTGGTGAATTAGTGAACCATCAGTGTCCTCAATTCCCAACATCCCATGTTGAAAATTTACCCCAAATTGTCAGTTCTTAGGAACTGCACCTCAGATTAAAATCTTCTCACCAGGGATTCTATGAGAATTTGTTCTTGTGTTTTAAATCCTAAGTGCTTGTTAAACCGCCAACACTGCAAAATTAGAGACCATTAAACAATATAAGGCAGCAAGTGATTAAATCTACCAAATACACATTCAAAGCAGCTTAAGCTACTTTTTAATTAAAAATAAAATATCACTGGCTAAATTCAGATGTCTTAGCTATCCAAAAAAAGTTAGAAGGCCGTTCAGAATGCAAAATGCTGCTGATAAGGCCAGAGAGAAGGGGAGAAATGGAGTCGGGGTGGGCTGTGAGGCGGCCACTCTTGTTCCTGAGCCCAGAGCCATGTAGTCGGAGGACGTGAAGGTGGGAGTGAGGGCTGCGCTGCAGGGTGAGGACTCCAGGCAGCTGCTGATTAAATAAGCTTTCTTAGCACAGGCCTCCGAGGAGACAGGGTGTTCCACCTTCTTGGCAAGGGGAGTGGGTTGAGTAACAGCATCATCGCAGGAAGCTAAGCATTGGAGATGTATAGAGGGCCAAAGGAAATCCTAGTGCTATTTTTAAGTATAGCTTAAACTAATTGATAAATGGTTCTTGAAATAATTATTAACGTTTAGGGAAGGAGGCAGGGGGGCTTTTGAGTGAGTGGGATGGCTTGAGATTGAAAGAAATTTTTACTGTCAAGTTAGAAGTAAATAAACAATGTAGCTTTAAGTTGTTCCAACTTGTTTAAAGTAAAGAAAAGAAAAAGAGCCAGGGGGCTTAGTCAACCTTGGGCAGGAGGCCAAGAATCTGAAGATCAGACTGAAGGCTGGGATGATATCATTCACTCTGCAGTCTTGATACTCTTCCTAAAGCATGAGAAAATTTACTGGTAAAACTTTACCTCACCCACAGTTTTCTTATTTTTAACTCTTTTTTTTTCTCTCAAGAATAATTTTCCAAATCTGCTTTCTGCCTTATACGCAAATGTTATGAATTTACATTTAGCTTCCGACACGGTCTTACCTAAAAAGCTTGCCCTGAAGTAAAGCACGGGCACTTGGTAGCTACAGGAGTACAGGACATGATACTCATATTTAATCACGTCGGTGGCCGCCATGGTCTCAGGCACTTCAAAATCATCCAGGGGCAGCTCTAAAGCCTCCTGGAAAAAAGCAGAAATAAAAACAAAATGTGTTTGTCAATAAAAAAGAGTGCACTAACACAGAGAGGGAAAGACAAAGTTTTCTTCTTGCAAAATAACAGTTAAATAAATATAGGGCTACGAAATAAGGAAAAGGGAGTTTCCCACATACATGTTTAACATTTGAGTCCTGGGTAAATAGTAAAACCAGAAAACATCAGCATTAAGTAATTCCAGATTGTTTTTGAGAGACAAGGCAGCTCTGGGTAAAGAAACAGGAAGAAAAAAAAAAAGCAGAAAGATCTTCTGCAACAGCGGCTCTGAAAAATCTTTACCGTACAATTTTAGCACAAGATGATGGCTACACAAGCTACTTTTTTCCCTACCTGTGAAAGCTAAAAACATCCTAACAATTGAACAAGAGGCTGGGAAGCGTCCCTAAAGATTCTATTGTACTTGCCAAGAGATGATTCATTGTGTGCTTAACAGTTCCCAGTTCCATTTTGAATAGGAAAGTTATTTTGCAAGAGGTCGAGTTTGTTAGGTACATTTCAAAACCTGAAATGAATCTGTTTTCTTTATTATTGTGCTATCTTTGGTATATTTCTACAATAAATCTGATTTATAACAGAGTAGAAGGCAAATATTAATGTTGACTTAAACAGGGTTTTGTAAGCAAAGATGGTTATAGCCAGCTCGCTTCTCACCTCATCATTCTTTATTGGCTGATTTTTTATTATGTGTGGGGGTTTCTTAAGAATGTATCTTAACGTTTAGAAGCAATTAAATGGACGTGTTGAGTCAGAACCTGGTTCCATTCACATTCACTTATTTATTTGCATTGCGTTGAAGAATTTCCTTTGAAATTAATTTAGTAGAAGGAAAGAAGCAGGTTGGATTGGCTCATTTCTACCTCTCATTAAAACAGTAACAACAACAGTGAACAATTGGGAAGAGCTACAGGGAAGATTTCAAACTTTATCAATATGAAATAAGGTTTCCTGTGGAGATAAGTAAAGCCACAGACTACTCTCCAGATCGGTATCTGCTTTACTAATTCCCCACTCACAGTCAGTTCACTGGGGAGATATTACACTAGATAAATCACAACTGCAGATATTTACAAAATAGTTTTTCACTAAACTCCAGTACACACTATCAATTAAACACAACAAATTAAATAACCAGAGAGAAATCACTGAAATAAATATTCTGGATATCGAAAATTAATACAGTAGCACGAAGAGGTTTTTCTGTTTATTTAAATTTTCATTAGGCAAAGATATCTATATCTTCTTTCAAAGCAATTCTTTTGATCAAATTCTCTTTTTCAGGTCAAAGATTATATCTTTGTGATAAACAATAATTGCAAACACTGCACAAGTACATAAAAAGTGAAATTCCCCTCATTCCAGCACTTCTGTATCTCAGATTTATAACCATTTTTAACAGGTCAATGTGTATTTTTCCAGACTTTTTAATTTTTTAGCCTACAAACACATACACACACATACATCCACCCACCCCTCCATTGAATCCTGCTATATATACACATGTTCCTTGGTTTGATTCTCTCACTCATGGACACCCTACCACAAGCTGCCACCTCAGTGCTGTAGGTCTCACTCCTTCTTTCAATGGCTTCACTGTATTCCATTGTATGACTATGCCATAGTGTTGGGTTTTTTTTAAACATTTCCATATTGCTAGATATTTTAGGTTGATTATAATTTTCTGCCACTACAACTAAGGCTGCAATAAATATCTTAGCACATATACCCTCATACACCTCTATTTTTCTATGGTGCAGATTCCTAAAAGTGGTATTGCTGCATGAAAGGGTATGTGCGTTCTAAATTTCAATAGATACTGCCAATCTGTCCCCAGAAAAAGGCTGTATCAATTTATAGTCCCATAAAAATTGTATGAGAATGTCCTTTCCCATATCTCATAAATACTGAATATTTGTGTTTTTACTTTTTACCTATTTGATGAATTTTTAAATGTTAATTTTTGGTTTTAATTTCTAGTTTTTTGATTACTAGTGAAAGTGAACATCTATTCATTTGCATTATTCTGTGATTTGCTTCTTCTTATCCTTTGTCTATTTTTCTGACAGTTTGCATTTCTCTTATTGAATTGTATAAACTCTTTGTATATTAGAAATAACTTATCGTTGTGCGTGTATATATATATTATTGTATACATATAGATAGACGTATATATCTGCATCATAGAAAAACAGAGGTATGCAAGGATATGTGTGGTATCTATATGTATGTTTATATATATGCATATATATATGAAACATTTTCACTCAGTTTTCTTTTAACTTTGTTTCTTGTACATTTCATTATAAAGACTTTTTTTTCACTTTTATCTAGTTAAATCTGTGCATTTCTTTCTGCAGCTTCTGAGTTACCTGTCTTCATTAGAAGGGCTCCTGCTATGTCCCATCTCACCCTTAAAAATTAAAAAAATGTTAAACTCTTTTATTCTACACACACACAAACTCATATACATGTTTTTAAATTTACATTTAGATCATTAATCCATTTGAATTTTGTTCTTGTGTATGGTGTGAGGTAGCAATTTCCCCCAGATGATTGCTAATAGTCTATCTTTTTCCCATTGATTTTTCATGCCACCTGTACCATGAATTAGATTTGTGTGTGTGTGTATTTATTCTGTTCTTCTCTATTCAGCTATTACTTCTCTTCTCAGACCATCACTGTCCAATTCTTAAGTGATTACTGAATTGGGTCACTAATTTCTGCAGGTAAAGACTACCTGACCCAGCCCTGGTAGGGAAGATAAAATTCCTGGAAAGAATGTCCTTCACTCAAACTAAAATTAAGCACTCAGGAATGTTCTGGGGTTGACATGAGGTAATGCAACTGGTGATTGATTAGGCGTAGATCCAGATTCTCTAAAATAGTTTGGAGGCCCAAGGAATAAGAGGGGGTAGAGCAAGCTTCTTGAAGAGCCTGTGAGCAGCCTCTCTCTAATCACTGTGCTCCTGGGCAACTGAGTGCCTTTGCGGGACATGAGGGCCAGAGCGCTCATCCTCTAACTGGGAGTGCTGCTGTGTCACCCAGTCCCTTCTCTGGGCAGCCATCTATGGGCTAAGACATTTTTGCATCCTTAACTCATATTAAATGAATTGAACCCTTGGCCTGTGTCTGCTGGGATCTTCCCATCCTCACGGTCACCTTCATGACGCCCACGTAAATATCATCCCTTGAAATCATGCAACCTGGAAATCTCAGACTTCTACATATTTTCTGCTTCCCTTTCCAGGTAAAAGTGCAAGATGGTTTTAGAACTCAAGACTGAAGTTCTTGTCTTATTCATCTTTCTGTTCCCAGAGAGTCTAGCACAGAGCTGAGAACTCCAGGAAGCAATATTTTTATTTCCATAGTAGACGTGTTTCCTCCCATCTAAGTATACCACAAACTTCATAGGACTTTATGAGCAACTCCACCCCCGCCCCAAAGTCTGAAAAGAAGTAAATGGAGGAGTTAAAATGCAAAATATCACCAAAGATGATATAGAAATGGCAAATAAGCAAATGAAAAAGATGTTCAATATCATTAGCCATCAGAGAAATGCAAATTAAAACTACAATGAGATATCCCTACACATCTATCACAATGGCTAAAATAACAAATAGTGACACCATCAAATGTTGGTGAAGATGCAGAGAAACTAGATCATTCATACATTGCTGCTTGGAATATAAAATGGTACAGCCTCTCTGGAAAACCATATGGCAGTTTCTTATAAAACTAAACATGTAATTACCATATATCCCACCAATTACACTCCTGGGCATTTATCCCAGAGAAATGAAAACCTGTACACAAATGTTCATAGCAGTTTTATTCTGAATAGCCAAAAACTTGAAACAGTTCAGATGTCCTTCAATAGGTCATGGTTAAACAAACTGTGGTACATCCATTCCACACTACTCAGCAATAAAAAGTGCAAACTATTGATACACACAACCACCTGGGTGAATCTATCGGGAATTATGGAAGTGATTAAAGCCAATCTGAACACGTTACAGATTGTATGATTCCATTCATATAACATTTTTGAAGTGACAAATTTTAGAAATGAAGAACAGAGAGGTGGTTAGTGTTGGGAGGGTGGAGAGAGGTGGGTATGGTTATAAACGAGCAACATGAGGAATCCTTGTGGTGACGGAACTCCACTGTATCTCGACTACGATGGTGGATATATGAACCTACACGTGATAAAACTGTATAGAACCAAAGACACACACACAAGTACAAGTAAAACTGGAGACATCTGAATAATATCAGTGGATTCTATGGATGCCAATACCCTGGTTGTGATACTATACTATAGTTTTGCCAGATGTTATCACTGGGGGAAACTGGGTTAAGGGTACATGGGATCTTTCTGATTATTTCTTATTACTGCCTGTGAATCTATAGTTATCTCAAAAATTTCAATTAAAAAATGAAAAGGAAAGAAAGTGTAGCAATTTGAGGTTTGTTAAAAGCAAAATTACACTTCTAAGACCTCAGGTGCTAACAATGCAGAAGGCAGAGGGATTATGTTGATAAATAGAGGCTAATGTCTGGAATTTGCTTTGCAATAACAGGAGACTGGTCAGTGGATGGTGGTGTGGAAGGGGCATGATTGGCCATGGAGTGATGATTGTTGGGTTGATTGATGGGTCTGTGGGCGTTCATTATACCATTCTGTCTACTTTTTTGAATATTTTTAATTCTCCAAAATAAAAATTTTTTTAAAGTAACAAAAGTTTCTGATACCATATTACAGTATACAGAATCACAGAACCCTAATACGGAAAGGAACTTGAATCATTCCATCTAACCCAACACTCACCTGGCAGATAGAATACAGCCCAGAAAGGTTGGTGGTTTACCCAATGTCACTCAAGTAGATAGAGGCACAGGTAGGCCTATAACTTACGTCTGCTGACACTGAAACCACTGCTCTTTGTACTGCAGTATGCCACTTCTTAA